AAATCTGCATCCCTCTTAATAAACTATTAAAATAATACTCTCTGTCTGTATCTGGTCAGGTTTTCTTCATTCTGTCTCACACACGGCTGAGAGATGACTGTTCTAGAGTACACATATCCTGTTGGCATTCCCCCTTATAAAACTTTCAATGACTCTCTGTCACCTCCATGGTAAAATACAAATTTTACCTCCATGGCCTACCTTTATAGTGTATCCTAAATCTACTCCCTACCCTGCACTTTTTGCTTAATCATACTAAAGACTTCTTTATTCTTGCCTGATTATACTGCACTGTTCCTTGGCTCATCTCCATGGCTTGGCAGATGCGGTTCCTTTTGCATGGAATGCTTCTTCATCCTTGTTAGCATATGAGCTTTATGTATTCTTGAAGATCATAATCTTCACCTGTGTCATCTGTATGAAGATCATCCAATGAAGAGTTCATCATTCTCTGCTTTGTACCATTTTTACTTATTCCTTTCTCTTTTTAAAATACTTCTGACGTTTGTTATATTATAACTTTTTGTTAAACTTTTATTGTAGACATTGTGTTTCTTTAGATTAACTATCTTGTCTTCTTCACCTTTGGTTCCCCAGTGATTAACAGAGTACCTTACAGGTAGTAGGTACCCCATAAATGTTTAATGAAAGACCAGACATTAATGTTGTCTATGAATTCAGTGTGGTGAATACACTGTCTTATGGACTTTTCCATTTAAAGGAATAATTGTAATATACTTTGGTAAGCACCATAAGAGAAGAATATGCCAGGTATGGCAGCAACCTGGAAGAGAAAATGATTAGTTGGTGTGGAAAAGGTCAGAGAGTCTTCATCCCAGAGAAAAGAGAAGTGGGAAGAAGCCTTGTTCTGTACAGAAAAGAAATAGTTCAAAGTGTGAGGAATCTGCATTGCACAGAAGCAGTAGGAGATGAGTTTGGGAAGGAAGGCAGAGGCAAGAAAATGATCCGTCTAGGCCCTGTTTTAGAACTTGAGCTTTAGCCTTTGGGGAGGTTTTGGAGGTTTTATCCAGGAAGGGGCTTAGGTCATATTTTTGCTTTACAAGGGTATAAGGGAGTTGTGTGTAACCAAGAGAGGATGGGGTGTGAGATTGGAAGTCTAGAGACTAGTCAGGGGAAGCTTCTAGTACTGTATTTCAAAAAGTCACAGCATTTAGCTGGAAGGAAAAGTACTATAAATCCTTCTCTGTGTAACAGAGGAAGGGGAATGGTTTCTGGTAGAATCTGGTGGTGCCTTTCTTTCTCCTCAGTAGAAGAGCAAAGCCTTTTTTTTTTTTTCTTAGTCAAGTGTGATAAAACCCATACTTTGTATAAGCAGTAATGTCATTACTACCAGTGCAGTTCTGACTTTGCCATGTGCTGCTGTGGTTGCTTTCCTCTATTCATAATGCCCTCTAACATCTTGATAAAATCATGGTGAAATCTTTCTTGTAACTTGCTGACCGTATGCTGATTTGTTTCATTTCTGCAGCAGTTTCATCTAAGTGCATGAATGAGTACTGTGACAAAGAACAAAAACATTTGTGTTTCTTTTTTTTTTTTCTTTTAAGGATCACTCAGAAGATCTTTTGTTTGCCTTAACAGTTCATCTTAACATCCAAATTCAGTCCATTTTCCTTTTACTACTCTCCCAATATCAAATAGGATGTTGTAGAGAATATTCAAAAATAGACTAAGAGGTAATTAGAAACACTCCACCAGATATCAGTAATATAAATCAGAACTTCACACAGAAAATGCCTCTTCACTGTGTGGTTTTTGTAGTCCATTTGTCTCCCCTTCCCAACGCCAATTTTTTTTTCCAATGCCAATTTTTAAGTGTTTATCTTATTAGCAAATGTTCATTTGATTTTTAAATTATTGGCTATAGCCTTATCTACTGTTCTGAAAGCAAGGTGTGTCTGAAACAGTCTTTGTAACCCAAACTATCACAGAGTTGACACAGAAGTTTTGTTCCAGTGAATGAACAGTAAGCACAATTTTCATAAAAGTGCTAGGAATTTTTACCATTCACTAGCTTCCAGGAGGATTTTCTGCATAGGAAAGCAGGTTATTTAGTGTTCTGTTACCTTGTTTTTAACCTATTTTGGCCTTTTATAAACTATATTCTTAAACTGTTTTACTGTTCAGCCACTGTAGGTGGTTATTTAAATTTTGTGTCTTTTTCAATTATTTTTTAGTATATTTATTTAAACTATTTATTCATAGCATCTCAATTTAGACTTTGACAATTTCAGTATTTTTTTTCTAGAACTGCTAAATATCCGTATTTTTTAAAAATAAATCTTATCCAAAAACTTGGGATGAGAGCGTCGTTGTTACTGTGGGTTCAGATGCATGGTCCTTCAGCCTCAGTGGCCTTGTGTCTGACCTTGTCTAGGGTCATGAATATCAGGAATATTTGTATACACTGTTTATTCACTTCCCCTAATAACCATTAGGGCTTCCCAGGTGGTGCAGTGGTAAAGAATCTGCCTGCCAGTGCAGGAGACACAAGAGACGTGGGTTCGATCTCTGTATGAGGAAGATCCCCTGGAGCAGGAAATGACAACCCACTCCAGTATTCTTGGCTGGAAAATTCCATGGACAGCGGAGCCTGGAGGGCTACAGTCCGTGGGGTCACAAAGAGTTGGACATGACTGAGCATGCACATACAATAATCCATTAAGAATCCATTAATTTATCTAAATCACTCCATTTTGTGGAAGAACTGATGGCAAGAGAGAGCATATCAGATTTATTCAGAGGGCTTTCAAATTATACCACCATGATCCCTCATTAAATTCTAATGATTCTACCCAGCACCCATCGAGAATTAGTACCAAAGAGACCACAGTTACCAATAGGTTTTAATGTAGACAGTAGTTAAAAGTGACTAGTGTAAAACTTTATTTAATCTACCTGCATTATTAATCCATATTTCCTTTTGCATAAATTTCACTGGTTTCTGTGCCCTTTGAAAGCAGACTTCCCTTTACTTGCTCTCAAACTACCTATTTTCAATGTCGAGGGAGATACTCTGTCATTCAAGTATTTGAAAATTTAATGAACAATTCTATCCTGGACTGTTCATCCTACATCCTCTCTGTGCCCTTCATGGTACAGTGGTTCAAGAAGTTTTGCAAAGAAGACAAGAGCCTTGAAGGTAAGCATAGTGACTGGCCATTGGAAATAGACAATAACCAATTGAGAGCAGTCGTTGAAGCTGATCCTCTTAAAACCACACGAGAAGTTGCCCAAGAACTCAGTGTCGATCATTCTACACTCATTCAGCATTTGAAGCAAATTGGAAAGATGAACAAGCTAAGTGGGTACCTTATGAGCTGACTGAAAATTTTTTAAAAAACCCATCATTTTGAAGTGTCGTCTTCTCTTATTCTACACAGCAATGAACTGTTTCTCAATCGGATTGTAATATGTGACTAAAAGTGGATTTTATATGACGACTAGTGATGACCAGCTCAGTGGTGGGACTGAGAAGACGCTCCAGACCACTTCCGCAAAGCCAAATGTGCACCAGAAAATTGTCATGGTCACTGTTTGGTGGTCTGCTGCCCGTCTGATCTACTACAACTTTGTGAATCCTGGCAAAACCATTATACCTGAAAAGTATGCTCAGCAAATCAATGTGATGCACTGAAAACGGCAGCATCTGCAGCCAGCATTGGTCAATGGAATGGGCCCAGTTCTTATCCATGACAATGCCTGACTACATGGTTGCACAACCAATGCTTCAGAAGTTTGACGATTGGACTGTGAAGTTTTGCCTCATCTGCCATATTCACCTGACCTCTCGCCAGCCAACTACCACTTCAGTCATTTCGACAACTTTTGGCAAGGAAAAATGCTTCCACAACCAGCAGAAGGCAGAAAATGCTTTCCAAGAGTTTGTGGAATCCTGAAGCATGGATTTTTACACTATAGGAATAAACAAACTTACTTTTTGTTGGCAAAATGTGTTGATGGTAATGGTTCCTATTTTTATTAATAAGGATGCATTTGAGCCTAGTTATAATGATTTAAAACTCACTGTCCGAAACAGCAGTTATTTTTGTACCAACCTAATACCAGATACTTTTCTAAGCACCTTGCATGTATTAATCTGTGAGGTAGGTATTATTCCAGTTCTCTATATCTGAAAACTGGAGTTAAGGACTGCAAAATAATTTACCTAAGGTCCACCTGCTAATAAGTGGTAGAGCCACCACAAAGGTCCAGCAGTTCCTGGCCTTATACTCACTGGGTATAATGTGCTTCCATACTTTCTCTGACTTTTAAAAAGAAATAACTTAGCCTACCCTGTTTACATTTGCTAATATCCTTGGGTTTTCTTGGACTTCACTTGTGGCTCAGCTGGTAAAGAATCTGCCTGCGATGTGGGAGACCTGGGTTTGATCCCTGGGTTGGGAAGATCCCCTGGAGAAGGGAAGGGCTACCCAGTCCAGTATTCTGGCCTGGAGAATTCCATAAACTGTATAGTCCATGGGGTCGCAAAGAGTCGGACACGACTGAGCAACTTTCACTTTCGCTTAGGTTTTGTTATTCCTTATTATCTTAATTCCTTATTTCCCTCTAGTTCCTATAAAAGCAATAAGAAAGATTTTTCATTATATGCTATATTGGTAAAATCCCAGTCTGGCTTTCATTAACTCTAATCATCATTTCTCTAAAACTGAATAAAGATAACAATTTTGTGATCAAAACCTTAAAACATCACCCTTACCAATGGCCTGGCACTCACACAAGCCCCACTCCTGCCACAGAATGTATTCAAAACAGCTCCATTTGAATTTCTGATACCTTAAAAAAGGGTTTTGGTCCTCAGAGCATATAGGATTACTACTACCACACTTTGACAACCTCTCAGCTTTTAAGATTTACTACCATGGCATGTATGTCCAGCTTCCCTGTGTTGGTGAGTCGTTGGTGATGACAGTGAGCACTCAAGGATTCCTGTCTAAAAACCTGTTCTGTTTTTGCAGTGGATAGTCTCCTGAAATACACTGGCTATGGGAATGCTGCAGGACTGTTGGCGGCCAGGGGCCTCTTGGCTGGAGGAAGAGGAGATAATTGGTACTCAGAGGACGAGGACACAGACACTGAAGAATACAAAAATGCAAAACCAAAGTATAGTATCACATTTCTTTTCACCTCACTTTGTCTGCCTTTGGATTGATTATTTGCCTTTCACTTCCTTTGTCTTTCACTTTCCAAGTATTTCTCTTCTTTTGTGGATTTGGAAGCTTTCTGTTTAATATTGTTTTAGAGGCGGTTGCATTGCTAGTGCCTTAGAGAATGATGTCAAGTGATTGAGGAAGGATAATATTGCAAGAAATGTTTTGCCGCATGATACTTTTAACATGCTCATCATCCTCTCCTAAGTATTAAGAGAGGTAGTGTTTTTCAATGTCTCCTGTCATATACTTAAAGGATATTGTTGCTTATTTTGTGTTCTGTTCCATAAGTTGAGATTTTATAAGGTATAACCAAGACCAGGTATTTAAGTTGGTTATCTGATGCTTCAGTCTTTCTCAGAAATCTGAATGTAGGTTCCATACATTCTGATCTTTCCTCTTGTGTGAAAGCCCTTATAAGTCAATCAAGTAAAGCCACAAGGCACATTACTAGCCAAAGGAAAGAAATCTGGCTCTGGTAAATTTTAATTAAGCAACTAGGGAACCATCTTTTAGCAGAGGCATTAGTCCGCTGGGTAGGCAAGCCAGAGACTTTTATCAAGTTTTCCTTGACTCAGTGCTTGTAAGTCAAAGACACTAGTTGTCTCTCATCCCGAAATGAACCACCTCTACTCTCTTCTACCCCCTTCCCATCCTTTTCATCCCCCTCTCAACTCCAATCCCAGGTAATTTTCTTAGTTTCTACTTATTAGGAGTTATTTGAGCTCAGTTTTTTGGGAATGTTAAAAGGGTATGCCTTTCCCTATCAATGATGGCATTGACATATGCTATTTTCTACCCACAGTCTTCTGTAGTGTGATGTGGATCATGTAACAGTTGATCAGGGCTGGAAAAGTGATTATCTGCAAGATATGGCCCATTTTTAAAAGTGTAGATTATGCCTTGTTGAAATGAAAATAATGGGTTGTCAGAAGGTAAAAAAGATCACTCCCTAGTTTGATGTAGTTTCAATAACAAAATCATTGCCAAAGCCAATGTAAAAGAAACAAAAACATATCCTTCCCTAATCAGACAGGACTTATAGGGCTGGTATTCTTAGCAAATCAGGTCTGAGTAGGTGGTGTTACTAGTGGCATCCCCAGATCTTTCAGCCTTGGTAAGATCTTATAGAGTGTGTCCCAGAAGGTAAAGGCATTGGGGGAAAAAAGCTCGCAGTGACTTTAAGCATTAAATTCTTAAGACTGACACCATTTAGATGTTATAAATTGGGCATCTCTATCAGGTATTTGAAGCTAAGGTAGAAAAATAATACATTAATCTTTGCATAATTATAGAAGTCATCATTCTAAATTATTCTTGCTGGCTCTTGATTTTTTTCATTTCATAAACTATATTTCCATATCAGTTTAATATCCTCTCTCTATTTGAGACATTAAAATATACCACTTAAAGAGTCTCATATTTTTAAGTTAAGGATGAAATTACATTAAGCATTCAGTGTGTTCCAGGGTATGTGGACACAATCAGCTAGCATAGGAAATTCTTGAGTATTCATGAGTGGTTGATATCATTGCATCTCTGTGTATTTTTTAATTTGTTTGGTAGATGACTTCCAGAATGGCATTGGTCATATATCAAGCAGGGCTTCCCTGGTGGCTGAGACAGTAGAATCTGCCTGCAGTGCAGGAGACCTGGGTTCTACCCCTGGGTCAGAGATACCTTAGAGAAGGGAGTGGCTACCCCCTCCAGTATTCTTGCCTGGAGAATTCCATGGACAGAAGAGCCTGATTGGTTACAGTCCATGGGGCTGCAAAGAGTCAGACATGACTGAGCAACTAACATATATCTAGCAAACACAAGAATACTACTGTAACAACAAAAACCTCAGAAAAAATACAAGAACATTGGGTCTCTCCCAATAGTACAGGAAATAGAAATGTGTTACATTATGGAAGTGATGTTAGATTTCAGGAGAGCACTGTTTTTTGAAATCAAGGACCATGATGTGTGATTTTGTTATTGTCTTGGCTCTCAACCATAGAAAGATTTTGTGCTTAGGCCTTACATCCCTGGTTGGAATCTTCTTCAGCCTTTGGACCTGGCCTGTATCATTAATAGGAATGGTGTGTTAGTGTGGCCAGAATTGTCACCATTGTGAAATCTTGTTGTGTTTCTTAAACACTGCTCATTACAAGTGTAAATATGTCTTTCTAACATAGCATCACATCTTCCCTTTTCAGATAGATCTGCATCTGTTTTTTTCTTACATCTTCCCTCTTTCAGGTGCAGCAGTGTAGTGGGATGTTTCATTTGTTAATTTAAAATACTTATTAAAATGGTTCCCATGGAAGTGGTGGTAAACAAAGTGCTTTGCAAGCAAGATAATCCTTTGTGCTTTGGACAGTGATCCACAAGCTCAAAGAACTTCTTCCTTTAAAACTTCTTAGCAATCTGGTCAAGTTTATAAAGTCAGCATCTGAAAGGATGACTTACTCCCCTACCGCCTGATTAATGGTCACCAATCAGTGCTCTCAGGATCACAGCCTGCTTCTCTTACGATGCACTTATTCACAAACAGTGTTAGTATTGGCAGAAGCAGAGAAATTACCCTTCATTCAGTTGGCCCTCATCCCGTTGTCAAAAATATAAGTGGATTCTGATTAATGCACCAAGGTAACCTGTAATCCTTTAGTGGAATCTGAAACTAAGAATTGTATGGAGCTTAAATTTAGGCCATGAGAGACAGTTAATATCACAACAGCCCTTTCTATGTCAAGATAAATGTATTTAATGGACTGGAAATAGCTTTCTCCAATTAACATACTTAGAGAAAATACAGTCATAGAATCAAGTATATGCCACACAGGTTTTTGGTGTATGTCTAGCCATGTTTGTAAAAAAAAAAAAATTAAATGAACTTTGGTCCTGTATAAAAGAGAAACCACATTTCTAAATGCTAACTTTATGCCTGTTTCTTTTATGCCTCTGAGCATGAAGGCCCCTTGACTGTATTGGTGATATGTTTAGGGCTTCCTGGGTGGTGCTCGTGATAAAGAACCTGCCCGCCAATGCAGGAGACATCAGAGATGCAGGTTCGATCCCTGGGTTGGGAAGATTTTCTGGAGAAGGAAATGGCCACCCATTCCAGTATTCTTGCATGGAGAATCCCATGGACAGATGAACCTGGCAGGCTATAGTCTCTAGGGTCTCAAAGAGTTGGACATGACTGAAGTGAATTAGCACACATTTCTAAATTCTAACTTTATACCTGTTTCTTTTCTACCTCTGAGTATGAAGGCTCCTTGACTGTATGGGTGGTATAATGTAACTGATCACTGTGGTTTGTACATCATTCCAAACATCAGTTGACAGATATGTCAACCTAGTGACATTTGACTCATTTTAGACTAGTTGCCTTCAAGCTTGATATGGTATATAGGAGCCTATGAGTCCAAAAGGGTATCTTTAAAGAGCTGCTGTATGGAGGGGCAGAAGAACAGAATGGCTAAAGTGGATAGAACTCTCGGATACCCTGTTACATTCTTAATACACTACACTAGTTCATAATTACACCCAGCAGATTGAAATGATTATACTACTAAGCAATTCAGGGGTGTTTGCTTCTTGACCGTGTATTTTTCAACCATAGCTATGGCAGCAGCTGTAGAGATATTATAGTTTCTTCAGCACAAATGACTTTGTTTTCTTTTGTCAAGATTTTGTTATGCTGCTTTAAGTCAAGTCCCATTATAATTGTCTCCATATGTTGGGGTTATACAAATGAAGAGATAGCTTTGTTTTTAATATTTCTTGAAGCAGATAAACTAGAACTAGGACTTGAAGATTTCTCGTTTTTTTGTTTTTTTTTTTGCCTAGTTTTGACTATGATGGTATATTTATGTATAGTAGGTTGTAACTAGCCTTTCTAGGAACTAGAATTAATTTCCGATAAGCAGTCATGAAACACAATCTAAATTCAGATCTCTAAAGACCAGAATTGAAAATAAAATCATTGCCTCTTCTGCCATGCATACTGGTTAACTTGCCTTTGCGATGTTTACAATCATACCAGCTTTGCACTTTGAAAATTGAGTTCTCTATTTTTTCTTTTGTATTTTAATTTGAGTAAATGACCAGCAAGAGGTGTGTTATCTGAGTCTACAGTATTGAGCTTTACTTCAGATTTTATTTCCTACAGATTTACAACCATAGTTTTTTATATCCTTTATATCAAGGATATCACTTGAAACCAACAGCCCAATATAAGAAACATAAAACACTGTCATTTTAAAAGTATCTTGGAGCTTTTTTAGTTGTCTAGATGCAACTTGGTATATATATGTGTATTTAGTATGTCTACTTATATTGCTGATCCATGATACTTAATTAATAAATGAATTACACCACATTACCCTATGTCTTTGCATTGTTAATAGAATGCAAAATCTTTGACAAAGACATTGTTCCATAATTTATCCTACTTCTTGAATGTGGAATCAGTCTTACTTATACAGTAATTCTCAAATTTTCACCTCAGTCACCATTATTAACTGGTATCTCTTCAAAATATCTTGTAGCTGGATTTAACCATAGCAAACTCCACAAAAAACCTAGTTGTTGCATGGCTTCTTTAGTTAATGAAGATTGCATGTGCAGCTCCATGGTGATGATTTAACTCAATAAACTAACTCACTGGATTCAAGGACTTCTGGCTTACTTACTTCTTGACCAGTAGCTCATTTATGCTAATAATAGCTGGTATTTATTAAATGGGACTTCCCTGGTGGCTCAGTGGTAAAGAATCTGCCTGCCAGTGCAGGAGAGGCGAGTTCGATCCCTGGGTTGGGAAGATCCCCTGGAGAAGGAAATAGCAACCCCTCCAGTATTCTTGCCTGGGAGATCCCACAGACAGAGGAGCCTGGCGGGCTGCAGTCCATGGGGTCACAGAGTCGGACACGACTGAGCGAATAAACGGCATTTACTGGTATCTAA